AGAATCAGCGATTTATAGGATCACTAGAGCATCAATGCTTTCGCTCGATGTAAACTGAGTGATTATTATTGCGAAAATGCCGACATCGAAACGAAACATCTGCGGAACATGACACAATTACACAATGTTCATTTATACATACGCAATGAATATTTCTTTCGATTCTTGTTACTCGAGTGAACAATACCACTCGGCAATAGTTGCAGGCGAATATTCAAGGCCATACAAAATACAAGTATGAAGAATCTGTATTTAAAAAGAATTAGACCTCAATGATGTTGACAAGCTCACTCAATTCGTCCAGACGGCTCTCTTCTTCAATTCGCCGGTCCAACTGCTCCAACGTAGCCATGTCGTCATCTTTATCTTTACTTCGAGGGATCTTGTAAATATTGTCACCATTTGCTTCGACGACGGCTTGCATGACGCGCTGCAGGGTACAGAACGACTTTCCCAACGTTTTCGGAGACAAGTCGTGGTACGACTTCTCCACAGCATGCACCAGGTCATCGATCGTCTGGCATTCCATGGTCTGTTGCAACGCTTGAATTGAGTTGAAAAAGCCCAAATCTAACACATTTAGATCTGGGCTTTGTGCAGGTTGGTTTCGGAATTGGATTGAAAACGATGGGTTCTGAGCAGCCTGATTCACTGCAGGGTCATCGGCGGCAACGTGGACACGAGCATTGTCCTGTTGCAGATAGGCAATGCCATCGTTGTCATCGGTAAGCCAACGCCACTTAGTCGTTGATCGCTGGTAAAACATTGCCGACAAGGAAAGATCGGTACACAGACTTGGTGACGTTCATTGTTGTGGTGACGATTGTGCCAGCAGGTCGGTTCACGCTGGTTCGTTGGGCTGGACAACATGACACGAAGGACCAGCAGCCAAGTTTCCCACCCCGTCCATTTCTCGGCCGAGCAACAGCAGCGAGGAACATCACTTTTGTGATGTGGCACCACTTCGATTGGACTTGCCGTGGCGGGTTCTCTTCGTCATGCCAAACGCAGAAGTGCCGGCGCAGCTTGGTAATGTAAAACCATTTTTTATCTATGTGCACGACATTGAACAACGCATTGTCATTATGCTTACTGTAGTCATGCATGATCATTGGGCAGAAGCTTAATCGCCGATGCTTGTGCTCCGGTGTCAGCCTGGGCTTGGTCCAGTTGGACCGTCGTGTGACCCACTTGTTTTGTATGAAGTTCCAGATCGTCCACGTGGAAACGCCAATTGCCGCTGCCAATGCACGGTACGTATGTCGTTGGGCTAAATGTGTCGATTTGATTCGTTGCTCGATCTCAGACACAGTGTAGGTTTTCGGGCGTCCAGCGTTGGCAATTCGTGACTTCACGTTGGCGCGACGGCCAGGTAGTATCGATTCTCGGCCGCGTTGCCAGATTCTTGACACAGTCGACGAGTGCACGCCAAAGGTGGTTGCAACTGATGCAATGGCCGCACGAGACAGTTTCCCGTTTACACTAACCAGGAGTAGCTCTTCATATAGCGCACCTCTCTGGTCATCAGTCAGATTTGACTTGGATTTTGTATGAGTTGTTTGCATCGACCTCACGTTGGCAGTTTTGCAAGTATAATGGATAAAAAAATGCTCGTATGGATCGCAATGCGCTTCGATTAGCCACTCAATTTTAGGCCAATCCGAGCAGGGCAAGATGACAAATTCGACTTGTCTGCAATAATTGCCAGAGTGGTAGATGATCGTATTTTCTCCGACTTGATTGATTCGTTTTTGAATATCACGGAGTTGCAGGAAAGTTGATCATGGACACCTGGCGACGAGCTTGACGTGTGCACGATACGTCTGTTGGGCGAGTCTTTTCTTGCGACGAATTTCTTCATGAATGTGCTGCAAACGATTCAAAATGCGACGGTAATTGTCACCATCGTCTGAATGCAACGGTGAAAAGCGAATGTGGCAGTTCGTGAGGCCAGAGCAAAATCTGAAAATCAGGCCGTGCAATTCGTTGCTCCACATGTACTTGTCAGCAACAACACCCCAGAGAGTGCAGTGTCGACCAAACCAATTCTCAACAATGATCCGGTCTGAGGCAATGCGTTGATTGTTATTGTCCATTTGCAGGGACAACCGGTTTTCTTGAGTCGCTCGGACTGGCAGAATTGCTCGAAACACGTGTTGAACTCATTGATAACCTCGATCACCAAGCACGGCCCACTCATTTGGGAACTCCTCGCGCAAAGGGCAGGAATCCTCGAGATGAAGTTCATTGGGTCTCTTCTTGTGCGTCGTCCCATGAAAGCTGTTGCATTGATCGAACAACGTTTTGTCGTGTACCGAACCCGGTACGTGTGCACTAACGTGCAACGCATATCCCGACGGACTCATTGACACCTCCACCTTTTTCCCGTATAGATGGTGCTTGCACTGAAGGCAACCAAGGCCTCGTTATGGCTGCCAAGCGGTCTGTTGCTTTGCTGAAACGTTCCGTCAACTGCGTAGAGTGCCGCGGGGAAGTTTTGAAATGTCTTTCCAGTTGCAACCAGGTGACTCATTGTACGAATGGCAATCTCGTCCTCAACAAACAATTCGTAGACGTGTTGGTGAATCTTGGACAAGAACCGTGTCATCATTTTCTCAAACGTTGGCGCCTGAAAACCAAAGAGGGCT